TCGTTTTCACCTGACGTCACGGCGGCCATATTAGGGTACAAAAACAATGAAACGGTGTTGGTGTACCGAAAAAATCCTCAAGAATTGAACTCGTTTCTCATGTCTTTTTCTTTTTCCAAAAAATACACAGCTGCTGCCCACGTTAGTGTAAACGATCTATACCTTGATGATCTGTTCCTTCTTATATTATTTTTAAACTATTCCTCAAATTAATAAAGCACATTACCAAAATTAGTTATTCTTCGGTACGTACTGTCGGTGTTAATATTGACCGGGCGTGAGCTCAAGATATCTACTCTTATGTTTTTTTCCCTTTATTACCAGAGTGGTTCGAATTCATCAAGTAGCTAATCTGTAACTTATTGTATATCTCTCTTTGTTGTTGTTTTGCAGACGAAAGCGAGCTGGCATCACTCCAATCAAGTTTGACCTTCCACCCGAAACCAAATCAGCTAAAAAATCCAAGTCAAACACCATCTCAGTGTACACGCCGCCAGGACGACGCTCGGGCGCCTCAAACGGCGTACTCAAAGGTCAGAGCATGCCCGAGGGAAACCGAGATCGAGGAGGCTTTCGTGGACGGAACCGTGGCCGTGGACAAGGCTGGAGAGGAGGACGATATTAGATCGATCACTTGTTCTTGGGTGATTGTTTTACTTTGTTAATACGCCACTTTAGAAACGACAATGGAACTGGAGCCAAAATGTGTCCCGCAATTGTGTCTAGGATTGTTACTGGGGACGCGCCGGTCAGCTATTGGCCAAGTTTTTTTTTGTCCGTCGTGACTGTCCCAGAAGTCTTTGCGAAGTTAACTCGGCTCAGTTTCCTTCCCGTTTTTTAACCCTCTAAGCAGAATTAGAACCCTCACAGAATTAGTTGAGAGAATTTGTTCAAAGATAAAGCATTTTCCCATTGGTGATCTTTTGATTAATTCTTATAGCTTTTTCTCCTGAATATGTGTCGATATGGTTAGGAGAAAATTGATGTTGGTCAGTCACTCTTGGGACATAAAGGGTTAAGTGGCGAATAGAGAACAGTCAACTCTCAGGCAAGTGAAAAACTGTGTACAGAAACCTAACATTTGGGTTATTTATGGAGTAGGCTGTTATAAATTATCATACGTTTCTTTTTAAACTTCCATTAATCTCCTTCCATCTGCCGTACGGCAAATACAATATTATAGAAATTGCTTTACAGTGATTTGTCTTATGACTTTAAAGTGCTGAATTAATTACCAGTCATTTAAGAGGAAATTAATGTCGTTACTGTGAAAAGGAATGATAATGTTACCCGCCAGTAAAGAAACTGTTTTCGAGCCCCTGCCGTGGTAGTCGTACTAGTGACCCACTCACACCAAAGCTAAAACAAGCTTAAATACTGCTTAGTTGGACTCCCTTTAAAAATAATTTTTTTAGTTTCTAAGTTGCTCACTTACGTTTCGTGACTTCACATGTAATACAACCAAAGTACAAGTTAGAGCTTATGTAAGCCATATGGTCTCACAACATTGATCCTCATTTTCTTGAATCTTACACTCCTTACAATTCGGGACTAATTTGCAAATATAATGTTGAAAAATTTTTTTTTCCTTCCTTCAAAGGTTGTGTGCGTTACGTTTATCCTGGCTTACTCCAGGTGTGAAAGGGCTCAACTTGGGCTCATCCTTAGTGTAAAAACCTGTGACGCGTGACGTAAAACAATTAATACAAAGAAGCCACTGAGAAGTCAACACAATAGAACCAAGGAAAATAATAGCTAGAAAACAGAGAAAAACTTCACAGGTTTTTACACCGAGGTAAACCCTCAACTTGTTTTAACTGCACATGTTTTGTTGGTGTGAATAAGGCGTAGGAGTAGTCACATCAGGTTAGCTCACTGATGTTGGAATTGTTATGTCGTTCACACCGACATACTGTGACAAGAGTAAAAAGCCGATAGAGTAACTGTTGGCTAGTTTTGAAGGAAACTGCAGTTTTGCTAAGTTGTTCTTAATTGTTTTAGCGTTAGCGTGACTGAGGCAATTGACAAAACCTCTCAGTTAGAGGAGGCGAGCTCTATGCTCAGTCTTTTTAATTGTTTTTAAGACGAGGGATGATTTCCCATTTCGCTATGAAAGCAAGTTTGTCTTGCATACACGAACGCACTAAAACCCGAAGTTGGCGTTCATTTTTTAAGTAACAACACTTTGTATTTTCCGTTGCCTTCTACCAACCGTCGATTTGCCATTGTGGTAATAAAATGGCTACATTTTTATTTAGGCATCTTGTTGGACATTTCTACCTCCTATCTCTACATTAAAGTACATCATCTGCATTCATGCTAGCCTGGGCCCAGGGTCTGCATTGGGGGAAAGGCGCCGTGGGCGAAAA